TCACCCCGTCCCCCCCCTTCCCTTCACCCCGTCCCCCCCCTTCCCTTCACCCTGTCCCCGTCTCTCCCTCTGCCCAGCGTTGCCCTCACGCAGCCGGAGGAGATCCCGGCCGATCCCGCGGCGCCGGGGCGGGCCTGTCCCGCCCATCCCGGCGGGCGGCGGTGATCCCGGAGCGTGGAGCCTGCGGTTGCTGGGGCGGCTGCGGGAAGAGACATTCCCCCATGGATGTGTGCATGTGCCAGGGGTTCCTGCCGGTCCACGCCGACCCCCGCGGGGAGCTGAGCGCCGGGCAGCTGCTCCGCTGGATGGACGCCGCCGCCTGCCTCGCAGGTACTGGGAACACCCCGCCCGGAATACCGGGAACCTCGTCCTGCTGTTCGCCCAGGAGGCGGCGAGATCACCCGCCGCCTTGGGGGCCGAGGGAGGCTTGAGGGAAGGTTTCAGACGGTGGAAGGGGAAAGTGTTCTAGATTTCCCATTTACGGGGGGGGTGTGGAAGGGTCCGCACAGCGTCACGTGGTCTTGCCTCGGTGTCGTCCCAGAGCACGTGGCAGACCACTGTGTCCAGGCACAGCTTTGTGTCCGGGCACTTCTGGCAGCCTTGGGACCGTGACCGCTTCCCTAGGGAGCCTGTTCAGTGCCCAGCCACCCTCCGGGGGAAGACCCTTTTCCTGAGATCCAACCTGAACCTTCTCTGACAACAGCTTCATATTCAGGTTGTTGTGTGGTGCTATTCTCCAGGTTTCCCGCTACTCCTCTCCTTTGCCTCTGTCACTCAGGAAACTTTATGAAGCAGAGGTTCCCTATGTTTATGCAGCTCCTAGTTCAGTGGAGATTTAACTCTGACTGGAAGCTCTAGGTGCTATGGTCAAATACATAATATGTCACAATAAGTTGTGATAAAAGCTATCAGGCTATTAAGTATTAACAGTAAAGAAAATATTTACCTATTTCAGGTTAACTTTCATAATTAATCCAGAAAGACTGCATTCTTTTTCACAACCAAATGCATCCCAGGGAGATGAAGAACACAGTTCAAATTTTGGTAAAAATATTTTACAGTAAGTAAGTAAGTAAGTACTGGTTTTGATTTTTTAAAATCTTGTTTGCATTTGCTTTTATTTAATCCATGCAGTTTTGGTACACGGCTGAAGACATGTACTTGCCTGCTTTCCACTGCTATGACCATACCAATAAGGCAGCAGATTTTTCTTCTGTATCTGAAAATCCTCAACTGTCATAAAACTTACATCTTGGTTTACCCGAGCTGATATTAATGACACACTGTTTTGAGGGAGATTTCTGTAAGCTGTTTAAGACTTTTTGACTTTTTCTATCCTGCAACATGCTTGTTACTGCTCTCTTACCAGAACATTCATTGTTAGAGAACAACATTAAATAGAGATTTTCAAACTGAGTAGTATCATTGTCATCATCTAGTCTCATCTCCTGATGTTACCTTTCAATATGAATACCCTTTACCATGAAATCATGATAAATACTAACTTTATTCTTATTTAGCTTCTCTTTTTTTCTAAGGGGCCCACTGCAGACTTGCATTTTGGTGTTCACAGGAAGAGCTGGGATCTGCCGTGTGTGATCTCTGTTTCAAATCTACAGGTGAATAGCTCACTGCATGTGCCTTGTGGTAACTGTGTGCCCCCGTGTCTCTTTTGAAGGTGAGAAACATGCTGGTGTGTCCTGCATGACAGTGTCCATGGATGACATACAGTTTGAGGAGGCTGCCAGGTACAGAACCAGCTGAATGAAAACCAGGTGTTTTCATTCCAGAGATCCTTACTTGGCAGAGATCAAATTACAGAATCAGCGAGAGCAGACTGATGAACTCACCAGAGTTACAGGGCTAAGTCCTAAAATTGCTCATTTCTACCTGTGATAACCTGTCCCACCTAGAAAACAGATTGATTTCATAGGTCAGAAATAAATTGTTGTTACTTTGACTTGGCAGCCGAGATGAAAAACTTATGGCATGGTGTCTTTGGCTCTAGTGAAAGTGAATGATGCAGGTCACTAGGTATCTCTGTTAAATGAGGAATGTATACCTATAAAAGTTACTGTATTAATGTTTGTATTGTTGCAAGTGCTCTTTTGGTTTATTTCTTATCATCTCTTTCTTTCAGCTCTTGTAGAAAAACCAGAAATGTTTTTCATTCCTTAATCACCGAATTGGCTGACTCTTACAAGATAACACAGGACTTAACCTGTTTTAACCATTTTTCATGATTTTCAGAGGGATAAAAGACACTATAAGAGGAAATAGCACCTTTATTCCTAAATCATGTCTTTACATTAACTTAAAGCCATTACTTTGTATTTTTTGTGTGTGTTTTACACCTTGTAATCTGGGAATTAAGGAGAGCTTAGATGGGATAGACCTGGTTGCATAGACCAATGCACGTGCAGTTGTCTTGGCTGTAAACAAAAGCAACACTGCCTGTCAGAGGTACAGCTGGTGTCAATTTAAAACAGTTTGCTGTCCAAGTGTAAAATCAGCATCCACTCACACTTATGATTTTTAGAGCAGTGGCCATTAGGATGAGAACTAGAACCAGTGACAGAGAAGAGAACATAATCATATCAAATCCAGAACCCAAAAGAGCATTTCTTTGTCTGTTTTGCAATATTGAAGTGTTTGTCCTGCCTGCTGTTGCTCTGTGTTTTTCATTTCGCCCTTAGGAAAAAAATCTTGTCTGTGAAAACTAATCAGAATTTCTCTTTTAGGCATAGTACATCATAGTTAGTAGCTTCAGAGCAATTTCCTGTCTTGCTCCTGAGAGCAGAACAGAGCTTCTGAAATATAATGAAAATACTTTTCCTTCCATATTTGTTTCCAAATGCATCTCTAGTTCTTCTTCCACTTGTGACATCAATATTTCATTTTTAGAAGAATTTAGAATCTAGTAACTGTGGAGTAGCTAAAGAAATTATTTTTCAGTGTCAGGTCATCCCTAGCATCCTGCAAATTCCTAAATTATGCCTGATCCAGTTGATTATACAAACATCTTACTAAGTAACAGAGCTGTTTCTGCTCCCTCTAGTAAATGAATAAGATGTTTTGTAAGTGACTTACTGTAAGGTTTCATTTACCTAGCTCAAGTTACTAAATGTTCTGTAAGGATTAAGTCTTCTGTGCTTCCTTCTTTCCAGTTGACTTGGAAACAGAAATTTCCAGAACTCTCTATAGTTCTAAACTCAGTTTTATGCCATGATAACAAGTAAATCCCTCTTCCTTGTCTTTTAATATGCAGTAGTTCAATGGTACTGATTTCCAATTACATCTAATTTTAAATTACACTTATTTAAATTTCATTAGTGTTCCATGTGCAAATCATAGTCCGTTCATTCTATTAAGTTTCTGGCAGTTTTAGGTGTAAGTGTGGTGTTCTGTGACTTCTGCCCCTGTGTATCTATTGTTACTGTTCTGAACATTCTCCTTTCTGAAAATGAGCTGTGCAGCTGAGAACCATTACATTAATGATTGTGCTTTTTCTTTGCAATGAATAATGGAAAAACTGCTTCTAAATACCTTCTTCAAAAGCTAATAAGGGCTGTGTACCTGCAGATGATCTTGATTCTTTCCACTGACCATTTTTCTCCTCTGTCTACTCAAAAGCTTCCACTTGTGCTCTTAAATGTGAACAAAAAATTTCCTGTGTAGTTTATTGCTTCCTGTAGAGGAAGAGGTTTCCTATTTCTCATTCTAGTGTTTGTCAACAATTCTTTTGTAGTTCTGTTATTGGAAGAAAAAAATGTTAAAACGCTATTTATTAAATTAGGAAGAATTTTTTTTTTTTATATGAACCAGGGTCATAACTGTGCCAAATCCTTATCTGTGAGTGGCTGTTTCACAGGTACTCAGGTGCTCTGAGATATATTTTACATCAGTCTTGGATGTAGTTAGCAGCACTTCGCCTGCCCCAGGGCTGATCTTTAGCAGTCTAAGTCAGTTTAAATTCCGTGGAGGCAGTGGCCTGATGCCCAGCTACTTTGGCTGTGGCTCTGACTTACCAGGCACAATGTGTCCTTTCACTACTCTGCTCAATGGGACAACTTGAGGGGAAACTGCCTTCCTTCCACCTTCCCAGCTTTGCCTTATGTTAGGGTTTTAGGGGTTTGGAAACAAGATTTATTCCTGGTATCAACACTTAACAAGTACTTTAGAAATTCCAGAAGGAAAAAAAATATTTCCTCATTAAATTTGATTTGATGATATAAGAACGGGAAGAAAAAATAGAATAAATAATAAATTAAGTAATACAATAAAACATCAATAAATAATATAATAAATATAAAAGAAAAAATTGTAATTCTGTTTAAGTATTTTAAGTAGGTAGATGGAGAAGAGTGGTTTTCAGAGGTATGCTGCCAGGACAGAGGGGACAAGATGCAGCCCTGTTCTTGTCCAAGACTTGGAATGTGAATTCTTTCTCCATCCTTTGAAGATGTCAAAGAGCACTTTTTGACCTGGGATTATTTCCTCATATACATGTATCTGGATGCCAGAGATGTATGTGGAGTGTATCTGTGTGCTTTGCAGCCAGATGTACTCAGTGATTTGGTGTAACTCACAGTAAGATTTTGAGCAAAAGCAGAATCTAAGCCAAAATTTCTTGGTGTATCTGGGGCCTGGAGCCTACCTAGGTCATACAGACATCAGCAAGGAAAAGCAATTTTAGCATAGAGGTTATACAGTTCTCTGAGTAACTATAATTTTATTGAGCATGAGCAAAGTCTGACTGGTGAATAACAGTGCTAAACTGAAAACAGTGAAAAATTAACTTTTTCAGTGAATTTTCAGGGTGACGTGGAAGACACCAAGTGATTAATGAGATTTTCTTCACTATTAGGAATAGATAGGGAGGCACATTCAAGCCCTTACATAGCTACATGTTTGCATTCTCTAAGGTGTTATTCTTCTTAACAGGGTGGGACAAATTATTACCATCAAAGCAAAGGTGAACAGAGCATTCAGAACCAGCATGGAGGTAAGAGATCACCACTCTTATTCCCAATGATATTGAAGGAATAGAACAAAGGTGGGAGCAGATGTGCGTGCAGATTTGATACAGATACCTGTGCAGGTATTTAAACAATAACACTGTGTAATGAAACTCTGGTTTTGAAGTATTATAATTACATGTTTCCTGGAGAATAATCAATGTCAAAGTAGAAACTGGACCCTGAAGAACTGAAGTCTTTGGGAGCTGTATTGGGATAGGTGGTGTTGGTCCAGTCCAAAGATGTTGACCTCCAAGCAGCCTTTAGATGAGATGCACTGAATAGGTGGAGTTCTAAGTATTTTTGAAACTTCTGGTACAAAAATAGGTAAATCAGATGTAAATATGTTCTTACTCTTCATATTGTAACAAATATGCAGTGCATTGCCAAGTGACTTAAAGTCAGAACTGAGAATCAGAAAATTGGAAATAAGAATCGAAAATCAGAATTGAAACCAGAACCTTAGGGGTACTTTTTCTGCACTGTGCCTGAGTCCAATTCCATTAATATTAACAGGAGTGATGCATCTCACAGAGAACATGTTCAAAAAGGCTCTAAAAATTAGAAAAAAATCAGAAGCTTCAATGCACGTCAGGCATGGGAACAAATACAGTGTTTCACCTTCAAGTGTTTCAGTGTGTTTTGTACATTTAGACAGACCTCTTAGCCCATACAGACCTTAGAAAGATTCAAATGGGGATTCCAAATGGCAAACAAGTAAATGGAAAGAAGTATCCATAAAACTACACCTCAGTGTCTTTCCTGTGTTTTATTTTGCTAAACAGTGGTTGTACTAAAAAAACCTTCAGAGCTCAGCGAACGGTGTGATATTCTCAGGTGTTCAAAGATGCATCTGTGATAGCAAAGCAGTTTTTTACCTTTTCCTTTTTACATGGAGAGATGGACATGATAAATTTGATAAAAGCTGCACCATTTTGTCTCAGCTGACAAAGATATAAAAACCCTTATTTTCTCCTTCCTTTTAGATTGGCATCAAGGTTAGAGTAGAGGATGTTTTGACTAATGTTGAAAAAACTGAGTGTGGCATATGGAACGTATGTAGCCAAACCAGTTGGTGCTGGAAAGGTATTCTTTCAGTTTCCTTCTAAGCTTGAAGTGACTGAGTTTCTGTGAAATAAACCAACTGTCTTGATTGTGAAACCCAGTGAAGATGGTCATACTGTTTTAATCTGATCAGTAATAGGAAAAGAGCACAAAGTCCAGACTTTATATAGATGAGGTTGTTTCATTTTGTTTTGTTTTGAATTCTCTGCTCTGAAATTGTTAGGCTATTACTATTATTATTGCTACTACTATTATTATTTTTTCCACTTTCTTTTGCACATTTGTTTTTCACAGAACTGTAGTAAGGGGTGCAATATTGAGAGAGGCAAGCACTGGAAGAGACTCCACAGTCTCTCTCCTTTTCAGAGGCTGATCTAAATAAACCCTGAAACCTGCAAGGATGGGAGGGTGGGGTTTCTTTATCCTTTGCTTCCCCTTATGAGGAGGTTGTTCAGACATCACTGTTCAGATAGAAGGCGTTATTTTAAAGCTAGCTTCCAAGCCAGATTAATTCTTTGCCATTTTTATTAATTAGTTTTCATACCAATGCTGTTTCTTCTCCCCAGTGTTTGGCTCCCTGGAGGTATTTAGAAATCAGTCACAGTACTGTTGGCCTTCACATTGCTGTACCAGACAGGCACAGTCCCTTTAAAGTTTTCTTGTAAGAAAGGCCAAATATTCCTCAGATTCTCTTAACAAAATCCCTTTTTATGTAGCATTCTACTTTCTTGAATGTGACCAGAATCATGTATCTGACTTTCCTGTCTCATTGAACATGTTATGACAGTGCATCTGCTTTCTTAACATCCACTGGAGGCTGGCAGAGTCATCCCATGAGCCATTAATATATCCATTTCTACTTTCTCTTCTGTGATGGTATATTACCATTTACAGAAGAAACAGACTGGAACAGTTTTACCAAAACTAAAGCCCAGCTTGTCTCTGAAAGGCTAATGGCCAAATTGCTTCCCTGAAAGCACTGAAAGAATTGTTTATTATTGGTTCGATATCATATCCATGGAATCAATCCGTTTACCTTTTGCCCAAATTTCCAGGGAGATTAATTCAGGATTAAATTGGTGATGATTAACTAAGGTTAGACTTAAAGCAGGAATGTCCCAGAGGGAGTTTGAGAACTCAGTTCAAATTCCTTCACAAAGTCTTGGAGAAATTAAAGAATTTTTTTTTTTTTTTTCCAAATCCACTTTTCTGAACAACTGTTTCTGAAATTGTGGAGGGAGAACCACTGTGCACCCACCATCTTAATCTGTTAGTTGGACCATCTGGAAGAAGATGGGAAGTTCTTGAGGAGAACCAGAAAGGAAGCAAGGAAATGGCAAGAGGGTTTGAGGGAAGAGTCAAAAGCTGAGTCAAAAGCTTGCCTTAGCAGCACCAAGGCAAGACACAAAATGTTTAATTTCTGTGTGTGTTGCAGTGCTTGGTGCATTATTTTTGAGCCTAGACCTTGTAGACAAATGACACAAGTGACTATTCAGTGACACCTGTGCTGTAATTATCCAAATGTAATAATTTTCTTAAGCCAGTACATATTTGTTATCAGTTTGTCATTGAACTGACATACATGGGAATTTTCACTTACGTCACTGGTTAACTTTGTAATTCAAAAATTCAATACTCAAACCTTCATATTAATTTTTCTTTTCCTTTTTTTTTTTTTTAAGTGTCTTAAACTCTGTGTACTCTCATGGATGTTTGCATTTAAAAGCTAAAAGCACTTTGTCATTAGGTTTTAATGAATGATCCAGAAAGGATAATGCAGAATCTCTCAAACTTTAAATTCTGTGCTTGTTTGTATTATTGTGTTTGTCATCTTGAACAAGCAAGAGGTTGTAGAAAATGCTGATGCCATTCTAAGTTCAAAGTGCGCTTTGTTATGATTGTGAAATTAACAACTGTTGGGTCTTTTTCTTTTTCATTTGCATAGGTTGAGTTAGAACCTGTAAAGCTTCTGTCCGCAGAAGACCACCTGGAGCACAGCCTGGCTATTGAGAGGAGAAGAATTAGACTGGGCTGTTTCCAGATCTTTCAAAACCTAATGCAGGAGAGTAATAAGGAAGGTGATTGCATAAAAAAAGGAACAAAAGACTTGTGGGCAGCTAGCAGGGAGTAAAAAAGCAGACAAAACATGTCGATTTCCTTGGGGTTGTGTTGTCATGTGGAAAAGAATGTGCCAGATTTGTGAAGGCATTTCTTTGTCTTTCAGAAATTCCAAATTTAAAATTGCAGGATTGAAGGCCATTCATGCACTAAATAGATGTGAAATACAGATCTTCACCTAGATTCCATTTGTGAGGTTTAACCCTTCACATAGAACTTTGCAATGCAGTGATAAAGTCCTGTGACACTCACTGTAGTGTAGATAGAGGGATAAAATTCACTCAGGTTTATGGCCATGTATTTGAAGAAAGCACTAAGAACTATGCTTATGCCCTGAGATCATTCCCAACAAGCAGGAAAAATTTCATAACATGGGTGTCAAAACAGGTAAAAAAAATCTTTTAAACACTTAGTGATCAAATTAGAAAAGCTGAGCCAAGAAACAGGTTCATCTTTTATTCTGACAGTAATTTCTGTTCTTGAAGAGACTTGTGCTCAAAAGTTGCTATGTTTCCCTGGAAAAGAAATTATTTCCAGCAGTTAAGCAAATATGCTGGTATTTTGAAAATGTACTCCATGTATAAAATACAGGCTTTTACTGAGATTTTACTGAGGAGAGATTAAACCTGTTGTAAACATAGATTCTAGTCTTAACTTTGTAGAACTGAAGAGTCTTGTTTGCTATAAGCAAAGAAGCTATTTGTCTTAATGGTAATTGTCTCACAGGGTACAGTTGAATACCCTGACAGACAAATCAGAGGTTGATGGGTTTTATCTCCACTGCATTTCCTGGAAACTTCCTTCAAGGATATTTATTGTAGCACTAATTCACCTTCTTACAGGCAAAATAGAGGAGAGGAGAAAACATTTCATGGAAAGGCTGCTAGGTAGCAAAATAGGTACAAATCATACCCAGAAAGTGATCCTTGTCTGCTGAGTGGATCTTAGGCAACAACTCAAGTAGGTCCAAAGTACAAGTTAGTCACGTGTTTCTGCACATTTATATAATCACAAAGATAGTTAATTATGGTGAAAGTCAGAAGTACCATTCAGGTCAAGCAGCCTTAGCACTTTTAAAATAACTGACATAATCTCATGCCTAAATCTGTTCCTACAAAACACCACTGAGAAGAACAAAGATCAGAGTGAGGATGTATGGCTAAACATTTGAAAGTGGTACTGGAAATGCTCAGACAATGGAAGGTGATCCAGATCCTCCTTCTCTCTTTTGTCTGTTATATGTTGTCTCAGGTAATCACGAGAGTTGTAACAAGTTTGACATAATCATGTCATACTCTAACCTTAATTAGACACATTTGCACAGGTGCCAATCACACACAGTGGCAAAGTCTTTGAAAGACATTCGAATAAGTGATGAACAGGGCTCTGGTTCTTCTGTGTCTTCCTGTTTTTCTTCTTTTTGCAATGCCTGAAGCAAATGCACACTTCAGTAATAGGGTGCATTTTCTTCTGAAAAAATTCATTGATGCATTGCTGCCATATTTCAGATACTTTTGAAGAGGAAGATGCAATTTCAGTTGAACTTACTCATGTACAGAGTATTGAGCTTGTCCTGCCTCCTCATGCAAACCATCATGGAAACACTTTTGGTGACCAGATCATGGCTTGGATGGAGACAGTGGCGAGTATTTCAGCAAGGTATTTCCTACACCACAATCTCTACATATGGTTCTAAATAGATGTGCTTTAGATATTAAGACTTTCACAGGGATTTATTTCATGAAGAATAGAGACCCAGACCTTTTTAACTTTTCTTCCTCCTCACATTGCAGGAGACCCTTGAACTATTTATATGGTACAGCTCCCACAGCCACTGTGAGAGTCAAGTATTGCACATACAGACCCTAAGGGCAAGGAGACTGTGTTATCCTCCTGGGAATCTCTGCAGAAAGTCAGAACTGGATGCAGGAACTGAAACTTGCCCTCCTTTTGGTTGGTGCAGTGTTTAAAAGCAAAATCAATTGTTAAATCAGGATGAAGCCAGGTACAAAGTATTTTTTGTGACGCTGCTACTCAGTGTGGCCTAGTCATAAAATCATTTAATTCCTCCTCTCCTGGAGTCAAACCATTGTTTTTCTCCCTTCCTGTTCTTGGACACTGCACAAAGCTTTTTTGTGAGCACCACTGAAGTTTCAGTTCGAATTCTCCTTGCATGGCAAGTGACCTAATTCACTGCAGGGATGTTAGATATGTTTTCGCTTTTTAACTTTAATAATTAAATGGCTTTGCCATTCATTATTCATGTGGTTTTGGTTTATAGTCAGTATTTGTACTGATAACAACAGATTTTCTGTAGTGGTTGGATAAACAACTTGTTTTAGTAACATCAGTGCACTGGCCTTACCCCAGTGTGCAGCTCCATTGGCTTGAAGGGATTGTTGCAGGTTTTTGCCGTAATATGACCCAAAATATTTACCTGTTTTTATCGGATAAATTTTACCTAGTGAGAGTCACATTTAGATTTAAAAAGGGAAGGAAAATAGCAGCAAACTGAGTATTGAACGAATTTCCATTGAGCTAATGAATGTCAAATATGATTTATCATGCTGAAAAATTCAGGAATAATAGCTAGTGCCAGAGGCTGGTTGAAAACAGAGATTTTGTAGTTTTTTGCTTGAGGGATAACTGGTCTCACTGTGAATCTTTTTTGAGGCCACTCAGAGCAAGACCTGACCTTTGAAGGTGTGAGGTAAGAGTTGGCATGGCTGCAAACTCTGATGGAAGAATGGAAAAGGAGGGATAATCCTTGACAAAGAAATTCTAAGGGAATTTTAAAGTTTAATCACCTTCCTTCTGCCCTTTCCCCTCCCCAGCACCTTTATTCTGACTGACAATACATGAAAATCTTGAAGATAGAAATAAAACAGTTGAATATTATTAATATTAGTTAGAACTTGATATGTATTCTTATTTCTTACCCTTGCAGTAAAAGCATTCAGAGCAAACTTTGCCATGAAAAATTGAATATTTAGGCCAGATTTCTGTATTGTTCCTCTCTTATTTTCAATAATAGGGTGTTTGCATTTTTAACATTGTAAATAAAATCAATGTTTAACATTTTAAATTAGAAGAGCAAGTTATTTTTAATTTCATTACAAAGTCATTTGAATGTATTAGGCTATTAAATAGATGTACCAGTCAGTTAATTAGCTACAGATAATTATGTGCATTTAACAATACTGGTACATTAGTTTTCAAAGTGCAGTTCAGTTAAAGGCTAGGAGCGCTGCAAAACTGTGTTTTCAGATTTAAAAGATGCACAATGAAAAATCTATTCTCAGATGTGGACATGGGCTTCTCACTGAGAACAGCATGTTTTTTCAGAGTCTAAAAATAAATGGTGTTATTGTGTATTGTTCCCAATTTGTGTGATGCACAGAGATCCCAGTAGGAAGTGAAGGGCTTTGACTGCATTTAGAACTGATAAAGAAGCCTAATTTTTGCCCACTCCAGAGAGCTTGCAAGCTAGATCCCATTTACACAAACTGCACTTGGCAACAACAAGTAGTTTTTTATTCTTATTTCTTATCACACCAGCAGAAAGTGTCTAGCAAACAAGCAAAAAGAAAGTACAAATATTAAAAAGAATAGATAGGCTGACATTGCTTTGCGTGAACACTTTCTGGTACTCAACCTTTCTGCTTAGGTTTCTTTTAATTGTTCAAAGGCTTTATGATCTGGCAATTTTATGTACTCCCTATGCATACAGAGGTTAATGAAACTCTGTGAAATAACTGGTTACTCTGTAGGTAAGAGATTCATGGTCTGGCTCTGAAAGAAGGTAGTATCAAGCAGTGAGAATTAATTGGTGTTTGTAAAATGTGTTGAAAAGGAAACAGCTTGACATAAGTGGCATTATTATGTTTGAAGCTCAAATTATGTGCTCTTGGAGGTGAACATGGTCAGTGTTTTCCAGTGGGTTATGGAGTAAATTAGTGTAATGTAGTGACCTTCTGAGTCGTGCAAACCTTGTTGCTATAATCCCTTCCGACTCCAGACCTAACAAAGGAAGTTCCTCAGCATGACTGTGTTTTGCTCTCTCTCTTGCTTTCTTTCCCAGCCGCCTTTGTCATTCATACCCTGTCCTGAAATCAGTGAACATGTTTAAGTTCTAGGGACCCTCCTTTGTGGGCGACTGCCTCGTCTTCAACACCATTGTGAACAACACCTTCCAGAACAGGTGAAGCTCCTCATCTGTTTGTCTTCATTGACTTCTCTAGCACCAGCCTAAACTGTGTGTTTCAAGTTTCAGCCTGAAATCCAGGAGGATTGTGTTCCTGAATGAATTATTTTTTCAGCTGGAACTTTGTAGGATGTATCTATATCTAAAACTGTCTATCTATATGTGGGGGTTTTTTGCTTTTCTCACTGGAAGTTTTAAAACAATGCATTCTCTGGCTTTCATTTTAAAGATAATTTGTAACCAAATCTCACTCCTGCAAATGCAGTCCCTAAATATTCCTCTGAAACTCACGGATTTCCAAGGGTTCATTTGGTCCCAGAGCAGTGATTCTTCAGAATATTCCAGTTTACCCATCTTGACATCTCTTGGCAGATCTGGCTTCTATTTTATCACTTATTTTTGCTAATGCTACTTAGCTACTCCCATATTTTATTTTATTTCTGAAACATGTCTGTCCAGATTGAGTAATTTATTTGGTTTGCTACAGAAGGTATTTCAGTCACACACACCTTGGTGCACAGCAGTCCTTTTTAGCATGTCTCAGGGCTCCTTCTGCACCACTTGAAGTAGTTCAATAATTAATATAAACTTTTCTTTCAGTGTGGAGGTTGGTGTCTGTGTTGAGGTTTATGACTGTGAGGGGTGGATCAAGGACCAGCCACGGCACATTAACAGTGCATTCCTCATCTTTAGTGCTGTGAATGACAAAGGACAGCTGCTCCCCTTCCCCAAAGTCAAACCCACAACAGAGGTGAGCTCTCATCCACAGGGGCAGCAGGGATGCATGTTTGAGGTGCTGTGGTCCAGCCCAGCACACTCTGTGTGCAACAGATCATCACTACAACCAGGACATGGAAGAAAAATCTGCTTTTTGGAGATTTTTCCACCTGTCTGTATGTTTATGCAATTTTCACTGACTGTAGATGAAACTCTACAGTATTAGTAGTTATTTTTAGAAATCCTTCACAAAGATGAGAAATAGAGTTAATAAAAAAGGGTGGAGGAATCAAACAAATCCCATGATGTGTGTGGGCTTTCCAGTCTTTTGGACATGAAGATCTCAGCATGTGTTGCCCTGAAAGTGGTTCATGAAGCACTTGAAGCAGTTTGAATACTTTGTTAAATTGTTTGCTGTGATGTCACCAGTCATGAACCTTCCTGCTCCAATTAGAAGAATTTTAGAGAGCCAGCATTAGCAGAAATGAAATGATTGTTTAACATCAGAGATCTTATCTTTTATAGAATGGCAACTAGACAAATAAGTCAAGGTGTCCCAAGTACTAACTGAAGCAGTAAAGTTCACCATGCACTTTGCAGGCTGTTCCAAGAGGAAAAACTGACTTTTCAAAAATAAAATAAAATTTTTCCATGCTTTCTTCGTGCTTTGGACATCTGATGATGAGGAACTAAATTGATAGTTTATTTGGTGGTGGCACATTTAGAAAGAATAAAATGTGTGTGGTTCACTGCCCAGCTGCCACTGGTTTACCACCAAAAAGCACTAAGAGGGAGCAGCTGTGATACAACTCTTTTATCACATTGTTTTTTCAAATTTAAGGGAATATTTCCAAGCCAAAAATAAACCACTGACTAGGGTTAATCTGGGGAAAGGTGAGGTACAAAATACAGTTTTTTACTTGCCTGTATTATTTCTCTGGCATTTGTTAATCTGTAAAAAATTATTTTTAGTGGTCTTTTTTTAGACTTTATTCTAAAATAATCAGATCTGTGACTGTCTGGTTTACTTTTGATGAAGGATGGTATGAGAGGATACCATGGAGCTATTGCCCGAAGGAGAATGTGTCTAACCAGGTATAGCTGGGCTACAAGGAGGACTTGGTTTTGAAAACTTAATTTTATAATCCATCCTATAAAAAACCTGATCATTCATTAAGTAATCAAAATCTCCTTAATATATATATGATGTTATATTATTAAATTTCCAAATAATTTTGCTTCAGATGCACTCAAATTATTAGAGGCTACTTGTCTGAAAATTACTTTGCTCTGCAGGTTATTTGGTTTCTCCATCTTCCTTGAAAAGAAAAAGGGAGTTATTGCATGTGTGTATTGCATCCAAAAATTGATACAATATCTGTATTTAGAAGACACTTAAGCCTATAGAAAATGATAGTTTCTAGTGTACATAGAAGTGTAAAGAACCAATTCATGCTATTATTTCTCTCTTTAATTGTTTTAGAAAATGCATACTGTCTGCTAAAGGAGACAAACCTTCTGAACCCTGGGAGAGAAGCAACCAGGTAATCTGTAGGTGCATAAAAAGGTGGGGTTTTAGACTTTTTGAGTGTGTAAAACTGAGCCTGTGTTACGCAGTGAAAAGTGATGAACTTGAATTTAGGTGGACTTACAGACAACTTTTCAGTGTCCAGTTTTTGTGGCTAAATTTTTATTGCATTTAAGATCTCAGTGTCTCACAGAAATTTTCATTCATCTACTCCCATTACATGAAAAAATAAGTAGTTGAGAATTATAATGCAGGAAGGGATTTGCTGTTAACAGAGGCATCACCACTGTTTGAAGCAGCCTTTTTCTTTTTCTGAAAAACAATGATTGTAAACATGCACACACTGATAAAAATGGCTTACTTAAGATTTATTTACTATGAAATTAAAACCTACCATGAAATACTCTAAGGGTGTATTCTCTTTATATGGTGGTTAAATGAGAACTCCATCCACTGTAGCCAAGCATAAATAATGGATATATTTGCACTTTCTCTGCTCTGAGCCTGCTGTGTAAAGCAATTGCCAAGATGGACCACAGCTTGATAGCAAAGAAGAGGTTAATTTTCTAGTAGATTCTAATTACTTAGGAAGAAGATGGACAAAGCCATTAATTTAGTGGTCTGAGAGGTTGCCTGTGTTATCTCCCTGGTGGTAACAGTTTTTCTGCACTGCTTTATAACTGCAGAAGCTGAAAGTAGTTTTTTGTTGTTCTTTAATTAAGGTTGCTTTGCCAGCAGCCATGTGAGCACATAATCTACCCATTAGAAGTTTAATCTAGAAACTACTAGGCTGTGTTTTCACTTGTAAGGAAAATAAACATTTGCTTGCGGTTGAGGGGTAACGATAGAAAAAAAGAGCATCTCATTTCTGCAATGTTTAGTGAAATGTGCTTTTACCCCTTCATTTTCAGACATGTGTCTTACGTTTCAGGCACTGACACACCTGGCAGCAAAACCAGGATGGGAAATAACCAGGACGCTGGATGATGTAAGTGCATCATTGTAGAGTCACTGCACAGCCACTTGAGCTGTGCTCCACCACAAGAGCTGGGCGAGGAAAAGCAGTGTTTTACTGTGTGTATGTCTGTAATACACTGCCTTCACCAGCTCTGCAGAGGTTTCTAAGCAGCAGGGCATTATCTTGTGATAGTTCCAAGTGGACACTGCCAGTCACACAGCAATTTATGTACCATATTTTTCATATATACCATATTATCTGTCTTCTCAAAAGGCCACTTGAGGCTGTTCCTATTCATGATTTTCCTTTCAGATATTCTTCCTCCAGCCCTTTTTCTATTCAAAGATTACAGAAATCTGAAAGCAAAGCATCTCTCTGTTCACCTACTATTGTTATAAACTCAAAATCAGCAAGGAAACTTGTGTAAGCCTGTTCTAATAGAGGAACATCCTGCTAAGAAAACCAGCAGCAAGATCATGTAGCTGAGAAAACTTGGTGTTAACCCAGTTGCAGGGCATGTTTCCCAAACCACTGAGAGGCATCAGATATCTGTTAAGGCTGGATTTCTGAAATGGGGTTAGCGACTGGCAGATCACTTTAAAATCATGTAAATCCAGAGATGTTTGGGGGCAAGAAGAGGTGGTTGCAGTACTTTAGTCTGACCTCCTGCACATCACAGGCTATGAAACTTTGCTGAGATGTGCTTGCATCTGATCAATAAGCTGCTTGAGTAAGAGCAGACACAAACAATAAGGAATTCTAGTGATTTGGGAATAACGCCTACTGACTCTTAAGTACTCTCTTTTACCCATCTTGTTTCATTATACAGGGTTTATGGAATGTGCCCAACCCTTCTTTTGTGTGTGCATTGTTATGTACAAGTTGTTCCTTTTGAATTCTTAATATTAGGGTTTAGGCCTATGACTAGAAATAGACCCAAAATAATCAAGACAAGATACTACAAGTGTGAGGCAAGAGAGGCAAAACCATGTGTTGAAATAGTTTTCCCATATATCATTGATTCTGGATGCTCTGCTTCACAGAAAAGAGAAAAAAGGGTATTTTGGAAAGAGAAATGCTGAGTCACTTTAGGGGAAGGGGACATAGGCCAAGGTGTGGCTGATTTGTATGGACAAAGGCATCTGGTATTTCATGGGTACTCCTGAGAAAATCTGCTGAAGTCCTAAATCTGTAACATTTATAAATCTTAAAATATTCATGCAGTCATTCTTTGTTTTCAGTACGTGCTCACTTTTTCTTTCAGATAAAAATATGGACTCCTGAGGAGGGTGATGCGTTATCTTTCAAGGTTGAAATGCAGGTGAAGATCCCATCTGACCTGACTTTTTACCTTCTGTCCGACTTCACGTTGCGCCAGCAATGGGACAGACATTTCCTGTAAGAACCTGCCTTTCTTCAGGGCCTTGAATCCACTGACAACTAACCCTTTCTGATACAAATATTTCCTGAGATGTTGGCACTTTTCTACCCAGTTAAGAAGAAATTGTTGTAAGAAGCTGACATCAAAGATTTGTTAGTCATAGTGTGGATTTTGTTTTTTACATTAAAATTTGGTTTATACTCAATCTGATTCCAAATTATAGGTGCCCTGGACTGTCAAAAGAGAGGGATGGGACAGAGGTGACCCGTTTCTTAAATGAACACAATTCCATGCCTAGACATGTGTATGTTAAAAGTGACAAAAACCAAAAGTTGCTAGTAAGAACTTCAAGTTGCGTACAACTTGAGGTGGATATATTGTGCATGCTGTCTGTGAAAATTAAGGAAGACTCTGGATTCCTTCATGTTTGTGTTGTTTGGGACACAGATGCTCAGATTCATTCTACAGTGAAAGTGAGAAATCAAGAAATGGGGTTCTTCAAAATGTGTATTTTCAGAAAAAAAAAATGTTTTAAAGTGTATCTGAAAAGGAGTAGGTTTTGGAATTGCTGTAAAAGGTGTTTGAGGGTTTTTATTTACCTTATGTGGTGTAAAATAATGATTAGAGTTGAATTAATATGATGCCAATTGGTTTTGGTGAATATTCCCTTAAAGGAGAAGCACTTTCAGGTAATTATTCCATCCTGAAAAGTTTTTACCAGGTGAAAGTGGAAACTTAGGGATATTTGAAAAAATACAATCTCTACTGAATTGATGGCTTGTAACAAGTGAAATCTGAAGAAATACCATATTAATGAGGTGTTGCAGAAAACCTCATTTTTTCACTCTCTATTCCTCTCTCCCCCTTGCTGCCTGAATGTGAAAATCAAAGGTTTAATGTTAGGATGGAACACATTTGCACTGTGGTTTTTTAAAGGAGGTGCTGTTGCATACATTAGGGCTTGTGTGTGTGTGCTACATGTATTTGCAGGACTTGTGAGGTCCTGCAGGCTGTGAGTGAAGAGGAGAAAATATATTATGTGACGTCTCCCCCCACAAGGGGCTACGAACCCAGAGACTTTGTGATTCTCATGTCTCAAAGGCAACCCTGAAAGCCAGAGTGAGTAGGGCCTTTGCATTTCACTGTGAGCACTTTGGGGCCACAGTTTTGGGTTCTGTTGACCTCCTGTCATTGGGGGACAAAGATTTTATTTTTTAAGAAGCTAGATTAGTATGTTGGTGCCTGCGTTTGTACAACCGAATTTGTTTTGCAGCATGAAGGTGCAGTGAAGTAAATCCAGATCATCACAAATTTACAGCATAGTCCAGTATTGCTTCTCTAATGGCGACTCTTTGGGAGTGGTCTGTCTAGAGGGAAAATAGGCCAGAATTCCAAACGGGAAAAAATATCATGTCCCAGAAGGCCTGTCAGTGAGCTGAGGCACCGAACTGGGAATTTGTCTTGTTATTTGTTTTAACTGATGTTGTAGTACCATTCAACGTATTTCTGGAGATCTTCTTATTCAAGGCAGTGCTTGAAACCTCACACAATTATTTTACCTGTAAATTTTGCCAAGTCTCTTGATCAGTTTAACATCCACTGCTTTTTATTTTATTTTTTATTGGATTTCCTTTTGTTCTTGCATAATGAAACACAGGTAAATGGGACCATTTGGTTTTACTTATCCTTCTTTAGTCTCAATTTCTTTTCTTATATTCAGTAATTCTTCAAGGTAACAGTAAAAGGCAGTGTTCTGTACTGTGCTTGCTTTCTACCCTCACATCAGGGGATTCAATGAGTTTGAATACCTTTGCTGGGGCTGCTTCTTAGTAAGAGCTGTTCTGTAAACATGGGTTGTGGAGAGCAGGATAAATTTTAAAAAGGACATGTTGTATGTGAGTGGTTGTTCTTTGGCTTTCCACAGAGGTCTGATAAAGCCTCAGTGAGACCCAGGAGAGCCCAGCCCTTCAACAAGTACAGGTGAACACACAGGAGCTTATTTACCTCCATATGAAAGGGACACCTTTGGTACAGCTGTGTATGTTGTCACTTCTGTGTATCTTTTTGGACAAGAGAAGTGTTTGATGGTTCCCCTTGCCCACAGTGAACCTTACACCGTGGCTGTGAGGTCGGTGACCCTCAGGGCAATGCCCCCATCCCCAGAGTTCTCCAGGAGTGAAGTCCTTTGTGCCGGGTTCCAGATACACACCAGCACGAGCAGCTCCTGTACCGTGAGTGGCTCTGAGGCCTCATCTCTGCCTTCCTTCAGGGAGCATCACCTGTGCATGTCACTGACAATCGGTGAAGGCAACAGCAAAATACAAACCAAAAAATGGGTCTGTTCCCCCAGTCTGGTTGTGTGGAACCTGCCCTGCCCAACTTTGGCCAATCTGTCTGTCAGGAATGAGGTCTATACTAGGCATTGGAGGTTGCTGTGCACCTCCAAAGTCATTCATTCACTCCTAAAACACACTTCTAGAAGGTGTGCATTAAACTGGTCTCTGTGGGTGTCCATCTCTTTTCACTGACTACAGAGGAAGTCCATGGAAAATAGTTCAGACCAAATTCTTAACTTTAACTTTCATATGCCAGAAATCACACAATCTGAATCGCATCTCTGGATGAGTGACAGTGTTCTTCTCTTGTTCTTTTCCATGGGAAGGCCCAAACTTTTCCATTTAAGAAACACATTTCTGAAAATATTCAGTAGCTCTCAGTGGCTGCAATTATTTTTTTCAGGCAACAGCTTTATTCACAAAGCACGTATATTTAACAGGGTATACATAACGTTTCTTGCTGCACTGCTCTGTACATCTACCTGCAGATGCTTGAGGATCTGAGAGCAGTGAGGACACTGAGATCACTGAAGTGCTGTGAAAAGACATGCTTTTTGCAAATTATTGCCTTCGGCTTCAGAAGCAGTGAATGTTTCTATTCACATCCATAAAAACTTTGATGCTCATCTAGGCTCTGCAAAAAATGGCTAACTCTTGCAATCCACAGGCTTTTTTTGTCTCATTTTTTGTTCAAACAGGTGTGTTACTTCAATGAAGTGACATCAGGAGTGATGCCTTACTTAGCTGCAAATCTCGACGGCTCATCAAAATCCATTGAAGACAGCTTTGGAATGTATAAAGTTCTTGGAGATGAAAGGCTGCATGTACTGAAGTTAAAAACAGATTTCTGAAGGGACATCTGAAGATTATCCAGCAATTCTGGTTTAAATTCCTGCAAGTGTGTTGATCATTTTTCTACAGGTTACTTAAGTTGGATCATGTAGCCAGTATTTGGCTTGAACCTGAGAATACCTTGTACAAGCATCTGCTATCAAGTTGAGCTTAGGCTTTAGGATCCAAATTCAATTTTTAATTTAAAAAAGATTAAGGGACAGATTCTGCTTTTGATTGCATTAATGAATTTTGTATAAATGGAGGCAGAACTTGGCTCAGTGGAGCTGTAGCTCATGAGACTGTTTCCCTGTTTTAATGTTATATTGTATGAAAAGGCATCCAGGCAGTTTTAAATCTGTAAATACCACCCCTTGTAACCTGCAAACCAGTGCTACCAAGTAGCTTTCCCTGTGCTCTGACCTGGCTGTCCAAGTCTTTGCACCCCCATTATTTATAAACTGATTACAGCCCATGTAAATTAGAGTTTGCTGCTTTTAATACTTGTCTGTTTATGTGTGACTTCCAATAAAGTATTGTTTCTGAGGTTACAAATTCATCAAAAATTTAATTACAGCATATCTGGGGTGCAGAAGGGCTGCTTTGTAGCGGTGATGGGGACTGCTGGCAACCTCAGTGCCTGGCTGTGGAGCAGAACAGTAACTCTTGGATCCACTCCCTTGCAGATGAAAAGGGGGGATGTTTTCAGAGGTTTTATTGTGGTGTGTGTGCTTTGTTTTCTGCTCTTATTTTTGCTTAAAAGAGCCTTGTTGAAAGGAATGAGTGTGCTCATCAGCAGTTAGATCCTGGCATGGACAGGGCTATGAGTGGGATCAAAGCATGAGCTGCAGCAGGGCGACTTGATCTCACTGCAGAATCACAACTGGTACAGGGAGAGCTCTCAGGGTCTAGCAGAGTTCCCACTTAAAGACATCCTCAGTTCACCCTACAGCCAAACCAGAGCTCTCTTCAGGGATTCATAGGATGCAGGACATTTTGCATATGGGAAGTGCAGCACGAGAGACACCAAGGGACGCCCTGGAAGCCCTCAGGGTGCCCTGGAAGCCCTCAGGGTGTCACCCTCAGGGTGACCTGAGTCACCTGGGCTCTCCACAGGTCTGGTTTAGCTGGGGTACAAAGCCTTAGTGAAACCAGCTCTGTCTGCAGGGGCTGGCTGCTCTGTGCCACGCACAGCTGTTCCTTCCACTTGGAATAGAGGTGGGGAGGCAGGTCCTGGGCTCTGGCTCTGGAGGACCATCCACAGACCCAGATCCTGATTTTGGATCAGCATGGTCATCACGAGGGTGAAGTGCAGCTCCTCATTCTGGGGAGCAGGGACAGCCCCCCCAGGACATGGGAGCCACTGAGGCCCTGCTTGTCACCTCCTGGCTCAGCTGGCCCTGGGAAGGCCCAGATCCCTGCAGGACCAGCTCAGCTCCCCAAGTCCTGCAGGGTGCAGGTAAGGGCAGACAGGCCCTGGGCTGGGCAGAGAAGCCTCCAAGATCCCAATTTTTGGTTAAGAGAGACACCTAATGTTGGCTCTGAACACAGGCAGTGGGGACAGAGCCTGGATGCTGCCTGCACCAAGCAAGCACTGTACATTTATTTACACCTTTACATGCAGCACCTTTTACAGCTGCTTTTCAAACAGCTTTCTTCAGCTACACCCACCTCTGTGAAATCATCAGTGGGTGCATTTAAGGTGTAGTATTGTCCAACAATTACTGAGGATTGCTCTGAGTGAGTTGAAGATTGACCCACAGCTCACCCCTGCTGCCTACACCAGCCCTCACTCAGATGTACAATGGCAATGCTAGGACACTGAAAGTCTGTGGCTCCAGGTTCCTATGCATAAAAGAACAGGTTACAAAGCCAAAGAGTTGAGAAATTATCTAAAAAGACGCTTTTTGGACAATATATTTAATTCATAGAATAGAAAGGGTAACATTGGGATGCCCATTGCAAAATGTCACATAGAAGTGACCCTGCTTTGAGCTTTAATCTAATAGTTAATTAAAACTCTGTAATTAATTCTTGATTTCATTCACATCCCCTCTTCTTCCCCATTTAAATGTGTGCTCTGATGAATACAAACTGAATATACACCCCCCAATCTCAGTCAACTTAGTGCACCCTTGTCTCCACAGCAAAACCAGGAAACCTAAAATATAAGCTCTAACCATTATATTTTCTTTAGCAGCATTTTTATTAAAAATAATTAACATGTACAAATATAAAATATATCCACACAATTTAACTCCCCATATTTGTTTTTTGCTTCAAGAAAAGCACATGAGAGGAGCTCAGGGTGCTCTTTTCCAGTAGCACAACATGCTGCGGGAACTCTCTTTTGAGTTGTTTTCCTAACTTTTCTTTAATATGCCTCAGTTTTTCTAAGGCTGCAGTCTCCATTTAAAAACAGTAGGTCTGCCAGCTAGCAGGAGGTGTAGTACACATTCCCAACTTGCCAAGGGATAGAAAGAATGAAGATTTTTGAGCATTTTCCTTGCAAAAAAAGTAAAGAAACTAAGCAAACTTCTCACTTGTTCTCCAGCTCTTTTCAGGTGTTTTTCACCACAGGTATCAAAGGCAGGACATGATTCTGTTTGTTACTGAACAAACAAACAATCCAACATGCACTAACAATCAAGTTAATGATTGTTAATTACAACCACGAGTAGCAGGAACTGCACCCCCAAGCTAGACAGGCCGTAGGGTTTACCTGTAACTTCACCACAAGAAGTTACATATGTGCCAAGCTGGCACATATAGAGGAAAAAATCAGTTATTCTTAAAAGGAGAAGGCAAAACCAAGCCAGAACCCAACAAGAACCTTTAAAAAATACCCAGAATCCCTTTAGTAAAATACCCACTTGGTGTATTTCTGTTGTTCCTAGCTTTTCAGGGAGCTAGGGGAGTCTGGGAGGCAAACTGGAAAAATGAAGGGAGAAAAAAAAATAACAATTCAGCAGCACTCTGTTTGATTTTTTGGAACCAGCTCTCTGTAGTCACTCTTCTGCAGCAAAGCAGCAGTGAAGGGCCAAGAGACCTTCAAAAAGTCACAACTTTGGGTACTTTGGCTTTTGGCTTCTGCAGCTTTGGTGCTTCAGTGACTTCCTCATGGTCTGCACTCATTCCAGAGACCCATCGCCCAACTGTCAGCTGCTCTGCAGGGGGACACAGAGGGTGGGGAAAGGCTCAGCACTGCCAGCATCAAACCTTCACACCTGGGCAAGGCTGGGCCCACAAGGGCAACAAATCAAATCATACCAAGAGTATCACACAGATAAACTCAAGTTTATATTAAAGCAGGCCCAATAAACCCACCTGAAAAAATTAAAGGCTGCAGTGCCTAAACCTCTTTGCCAGCTGTAATTATTCCTGTAGTCTAAAAGTACTCTGCATGATGCAAACTGATTTCACAGAATATCACAGTTCTTACCAACGGTGCCACAGTTCCAATTAATTCAACCGTTTTTAACCAGCAGTACCAGTTTTGAAACACCAATGTAAGGACAAAGATCTCCCTTGACAAACTGAACAGCACTAGTGAGTCTTCATTGTGGATGTAAAACTTAAGCAGAAAGAGGTAGAAAACAATTTCTTACAGGCTTTCAACGCAGCAGTCACCTGAGTGGGCACTGCCCAACTATCTGCTGATGAGTTTGGGGAAATTTTAAGAGTCTTTTTGCATTAGAAACTTCTCTTCAGACTCAATCCCGCCCACTCTAAACTGGCTAAGCAGCATGCATCTAGAATGCTACATTTCATGTAACAGATCTAACAATATCATATATGTAAGATTAGATACAGAAAATGCCTCTACTGCATAAATATTTCTTACATAAATTTCACCAAAGTGGCTTACTATTAACCCTGACGTTCTAAGCACCATAAAAACTAAGTAGAAAAAAACACAGATGTTGTCACCACTTCAAGTGGTAACAGAATCATTCTTCAAACCCTTTTTTGATGCTTTTGCCTCCCTGAGCACAGTGGGGTTTTGGGGTACTTTATATAGTTTTTTCCACCCACATTGGAAAACTGAAGAACATGTAAGAAAGCAGCTCATTAGCTGTGGATCCAACTGGACAAAGATCCTGTCCCCTTCTTCTCCCCCATCCCTGACACACCTGCCTGCACACACCACCACCTTGCACCTGACACTGTGCTTACTTCCACCACCTCACATTGGAATCATCAAAAACCAGCAGCCAGTCTAGTTACACAGCTGCCAAGCTATGAACAACAGCACAAACACTGGACAAAAAAATACAGATTATCTCATTTCACCTTTGGCAGCACACAAGATAACTTTCTGTTAAACAAGAACTATCTTAGTTTTGCACTGCAGTTCACTGCCTTCCTCCACACACCTCTGAATATCAGCACTCATTCCCAAAGAAAGGTCACCTTTGCTGTTCCAAGTTCTCCCAAACCCTTTTTCCTGGCCGAGGTCAGGCAAACCAGTAAATGGACACTGCTGGCCTCAAACGCCACCCCACAGTCTCCTGCAGCTCACCTGCGTTCTGTTTCTCTGGGCAGTCCTTTTTGAAGTGCTCCACAGAGCCACAAAGTTTGCAGCCCCCACCTGTTCACAGAGAAAGTTGTTATTCACAAGGAAAACAAAACTCAGCAAACCACCCAACAAAAGGCCTCCCTCCATGTCTCTGAGGGGCAGAGCTGCTTGTGATCTGCTTGTGTACTGCTCTGTACATAACCACATACCATTTCTGATTTGTTGGAAGCTCTCTTTTTGAGAAACCAGCTGCATTCTCCCAAAATTCATACTCAAAGGAACTTTTGAAGTTGACAGGAGCCCCTGAGTGGTAGGTAATCCAATGGCAGGAACTGAGATAGGAAATTTAAATTCTACTCTAATCCAAACATTTGAAAGCAAAGTGATTCTTCTCCCACTTTCGCTGTGCTGCAAGATCACCCTTTGGAATTTGCCCACGTTTGTATTGGGGAAACAGGTTGCTGGTTGTTGGTGTCAACGGGGAAGTCAGAAAGAGCAGAATCTGAGTGAAACCTTCAAACTTAGATCCTATTTCTCATTAAAGTAACTTAAACTGAAGATATCCTTCTTCTAGTGAGAGCCTGTGATTTGCCACCTCCCAAAATCTTAACAGGGTGACAGTACATTTTTACCACCTAATTTGGTGCATGTACATGTAAATATACACTGACTACAACATGATTTTGTTTCCTTGTGTATCTCTTGATATTGAAGCACAAGCAAATTCTCACATTTTGCACCTCATCTCGTTGTTTAACGCTAAGCTTACAATTAAAAGAGAAATCCCCAAGTAATTAATTGACAATGAATTCCCTAGAATTACTCTGCTTTCACCAAAAAAGACAAAGAAATTCCATTTAGTCAAGTCTTCATTCACTTGCAATGTTACTTTGCTCTGTATCAAGTAAGAACGACACAGAAATTAGATTTCACTTTATTTAGTAAATCAGCGCACTCACCTTCAGCATACAGTCCTTTGGGATTATCTGGACATGACCTTGACAGGTGCCCCATCTCACCACAGATGAAACATTTTGCATACGGAAATGGCCCTGCAAAATCCCACAGGGTTTATGATGCACTTCATAACCTTTGTGAAGCCGCAGACTGAACACAGTGTGATGACAATATCTTACCTTATGTACAAAACACATGTCAGGTTTCTCATTATCATATTGCAAGAGTTAA